ACTATATGGACAACATTGTGCGATTATATTTTAAGCATAAATTCTGATAACATAAACCGATATTTTTTACACAACGAGTCGAAAACCGTAGCTCTATTCTATGGAAATCCAACTTCAGTTGGATCATTACTTGAAAGATTTATTGAGTTTTATTGTGAAATTTATGACAAAAATGTCATCAGTCTGCAAGTTAGTGGTTTATACAGTTGAAAATCATAAGGTTTATTATAGAATCGAGCTATTTTTTGACACGTTTTAGGCTACAAAATCCCGTTCGGTCCGCCTATTCTCGCTTCTCGTTAAATATGCTTTTTGCAGTTGATCTATGCATATTTCCGAAAGTTTTTAGTGGATGTTTGCAGTCAAAGCTAGTGACGTGCCGATACTATCGATATGAGTAAAGTATCGAATAATATCTCCACTTTCGATACAAGCACTTTCTTTGGTATCGGAAAGAATACTCGAATGGAAAATGGTACCGAATTGTGCTTAAAAAAATGCCCGAATTTCTAAAATAAAATAGAGAAATAATTTCCTTGAGAAGTTTGCTTGGAAACAGTAGTTGTACAGGGATCCTTCCTCCATGGTCATCTTCTACCACTTCTACATTAAATTCTCAAAAGTTCAAAACAAACAAAAAAGTGTGTGGTGATTAGTGACAGTTAGTCGATGATTATTCGGAAATCGTGAGTTGCGGTCTGGTGTGATGTAGGTGTCAGAAAAACATTTTCCTTACCGTGCCAACGTTTCGATCTTTATTGAGATCATCTTCAGGGCTCAAAGTGTTTGTTTCCTGCGTAACTGTGCCATACTTGCGTGTCGTGTTGAGATGGCCCACATTGCATGCTCTCAACAGTAATTCCAATGGTCAAGACGATTACTAAGCTGCAAAAATGAAATAAAAAAGCCGCTTCTAACGGATAACCGGGCAAGATTTTCAAATTTAGAGGAAAATAACATGGTTATTTCAACCATTTCGGCCACAAGGTTTAAGAATACTCATTTTACCAAACCAGCTTAATGCTATGAGCATCATAAGGAATGTGGCAAAAGCTGGGGAGACGCACACTACCACATCATCATCCTCGGATGACGATAAGTCATAAGCGACCTACGACTTCTGGCAGACCCACAAACAAAAGAAAAATGTACATTGAGAGAAGCATAAAAAGGCGTCAAGTTCGAAGGATGAGCTGCCCTTATACCTCAACAACCCCGCTTCTCTGAACAATGATCCCTTAAAGGAATGGAAGGACATGGAAACTATTTTCCCTGGTCTTTATCGAGAAGCGAGGGTTGTGTAAAACTAGACGAATTTTGTGTAATAAAAGAAACAGAAAAACTTTTGTTTTTTCAATGTGTAGGGGAGGAATATTGGAGTATTTCCAAAGCTCCAAAATGAGAATATTAATTTGTATGCAGGTAGATGTATTTTTTATTTTATTATTTACATTAATAAATAATCTTTAATTAAGGTTTTGATTGAGATAAAAAGTCAGTGTCACGAGCTAAGCCTTAATTAAAGATTTATTAATTGAAAAGAAGTTATTTGGTCAATTGGACCACGAAACCTAATATATGTAATAAGCAAAATGAATTAATTATACTTCACCGTGGCCATTTCATTTGTCGCCGAGAATCGAATAGATTGCGTGACATTTGAAAAAAAGAGGGAAAATTTGAACGTTTGTAGGTTGAGATGGGAAGTTGGTGTCCGAGTGGATCGAAGTCATAGCTCAAGTGGTAGAGCAGCGGCGTATTTGGCCGAAGGTCGTGGGTTCGAATCCCGCTCGTGACAGTGACTTTTTTATCTCAACCGATACCTTACATAAAGATTAATTAATTGAAGTATTTCAAATATTCCTCGTCCTGCAGAATGAGTAACAGTCCATGTTTCGACGCCATAGCAAAACAGACTGAATTTGTGTAGGGGATCTGATAAATAAGTAGCTCGGTCAATTCTACAACGGGATAGCAGGAAGGGTGCCAGTTGTCTTTGGTAGGTCCCATTTATTAGGATGATAGTGTCTCAATTATATCATTGCAGATTTTTATAAGTTCTGTGAACATTTTATCTGATTCACGTGGTTAACTCATGGCAATAGTTTCTAAAGCGACATAATCCTTGCAAATCTGCCAGACTCGTTACAAAGGAGGACAGTGTCATCTTATGTTATAAAGAAGGTAATCGGCCGTGGATGGGGCAGGCGGCCGACTACAATTCGCGACGTATAATCTACCGGATCGATAAACTATATACACTCATTAACACTCGACCCCTGGGGTCGTTATCACCTGGCAAACATGTTGTCCTCACGGTTCAATAATTAGCCTTGCAAAACGACGCGCGGACGGGTGGCAAATTTCAAGATCGAAATAATGCACGAGAGCTACGAGAGAAAAAAAACGGCCCTAATTGAATTTTGTATTTGAAATTCATTGATTTATTGATAGAAGGACGGTTGACGGTTTAATCTTGACCCCGATATTCGAGCGAATGCGAATTATTTCTAGGTTGGGAGCCGAATTTACCGACATTGCAGCGTTTGTTATTGTTGTACAATATTTCCGGTCCGCCTATTCTTGCTTGCCCGTCAAATATTCGCCTCTCGGTTGATCGATCCGAATTGCCACGGATTTTTAATGGATTGTTTTTGTCAAACAGTGTAAACTTAAATTTATACATGAAGTTCCATGTATTATTATTATTATTACTTAAAAAACATGTTGATGTTTCAATGAAATTTATAATAAAAATATCGTCAGTTTGCACGTTAATTGTCAATTGAAGATCATAAGATTTTCACGGAAACAATTTCATGTTAGCAGAGGTTTTGTTTCTAAATAGAAAGTCACAGAATTTCCATTTAAACAGCTGAAACATTTTCCACCTGTTTTTGATCTAAAAACAACATTCGTTCCGCCTGTTCTCGCTTGTCCGCCAAATGTGCGTTTTTCGGTTGATCGATGCAAATTTCCAATTGTTATTATTGGCTATTTTTGTCGAATGATGACATTGTCGTCATAAATTTCACGATAAACCTCTAGAAAAGTTTCAAGTAACAGCCCAACATGGAAATTCTAGCATAACGTGATGATTTCACTGTTTGACAATAAAAAAAAATCAATAAAAAACCTTTGGAAATTTGCATCGATCAACTGAAAAACGCAAATTTGTCGGACAAGCGAGAATAGGCGGACCGAATCGATACAAGATGGAAAAATATCATTAGACTGCAGGTTCTTTGTCTATATGCGTTTTTCTTTTAGTATAATTGTCAAAAGGTTTTTATTGTATTTTTTGTATCAAACTGTGAAATTGTCGGGTTGTGCTAGAATTTCCATTCTGGATCATTAGCTAAAACATTTGCTGAGATTAATGGTGAAATTTCTGCCCAAAAAAAGTATCAGTTTTCTTTGCCTATAAAATTGAAAATTCATACGATTTCCATTGAAATGCACCTGGTTTATGGTCTAAAAACTCTATTCCGTACGCTTATTTTCGCTATTGTAGGCCAAGCACAAATTTCGACAGATTTTAGTGGATTTTCTTCAACTCAAACCGCCAAACTTCGGTTTTTTCACTGCCTGCTCCCTCTAAGATTACAGGCTTTTACAATTCTAGTACAATATGACTTTTCTCCTTCACTATGATCAATTAATTGACAATTATTATTACAATTTATCTATTTATTTATTTTAATATTAATAACATCGGGTTACGCTTGATTTTTCAGTTGAATTAATAATCGAAACATTTGTTGAATTATTTAATTTCTAAAGAGTTAATTTCTGCAAAATAGAAAGTTCTTTGTCTATAAAATCGAAATTTCATAGGATTTCCATTGAAAAGAGCTGCATTTTTCCACTTATTTTTGGTCCAAAAACGGAGTTCGGTCCGCCTATTCTCTCTTTTCCACCGAATATGCGTTTTTCGTTCGATCGATGCAAATTTCCAAAGGATTTTTTTTTTCGACAAAACGCGAAATTAATCCGTATGATTTCCATGAAATAGAGGTACGTTTTTGGTCTATGGCATCTGGTTGATCTATCAACTGTGAAAACTTTTTCATGCTGGTTTATTTCTTTAAAAGAAATATTTATAAGTTTTTTGGATTATACAAAACAAACATTACTGGAAGTATACAAAAATAAAGAAAGAACCACAAAGAAAAGCTCAGCAAATGCTTAAAAAATTATAATTCAACTTTGAAGCAAAAACATGACAATACTGTATTTTTCCTTCTTTCAAATTTCCAAGAAAATGATTGAATAACATAATTTCAAACATATGTAAAAAACAGACTATTCTAAACTTTTCTTGTAATTAAAAAATGGAAATATCGAAGAAAAACGACTTGTTTTTTCATTTATTTCATCAAGAACCCGAATAAATTTCTTCTTGTGTCTAAAATAAAGTTCATAAATTAATTTCATGCAAACATTGCAATTCATAACTTTTCACCTTACAAAAACTTTTCTTTTTTTTTAAGAAAATTGTCCATTTTTGTTATTTATTTAATGATAAAAATCTACTTTCCATCGGTATTAGGTTCATAATTAATGATGTCATAAAAAAGAATCAAGAAACGCTATTTTTTCTATATTTTATTTTTTAGCAAATACTATGGTAAAAATGCACAATAATGGTTAATGTATAAACATGGTGGAAAATCCATTGAGATAAAACCTCATGGATCAACTTGAGGATTTAAATCTTAAAAAAATGGACTTTCAAAGGAGGTTAGGAAGAAATACGTCTGTCGGTCGTGTTAAAAATACACAAAGGGGCTTTTAAAATGCTTTTACGACCGACAAGCGAGTACAAGCGAACAGGTTCTTGTTTCACCGAGGTGGATATTCTCAGGGGGGTTTTTCGGCCTAACGCGTCAAACACCGAAACATTTCGGGTTTTCCCGTTTAACTGAATTGTCTGAGAATGCGATATATATATTTATTGTTCGAAACGGTGCAAAAAGAAGACCGCCGACGAGGAAAAGCCGATGGGCCGAGGTCGCCCCTCCCTCCATGGAAGGCGAACCCTCCGAAAGCTGTCAGTGCCGCTCAGAAGCTCGACGGGTGAACACGACGAGTGAGGAACAGAAGACGAATTCCCCTGAGGACGCGTCAGTTCTGAAGATAATTTGCCACTATTTTTTTTTCTTCCCAATCACTTTCAGGACAAAAAGGGAACAAAACGCATTAAGGATTAACACTAGGAGGTTAGACATATTTTCATAAATCCATATTTAAAAAATCCTAGATAATAAAAAAATCACCTAAATAAAATAATGAAAATTACACATCAACACTCAAACATAAAAAATCATTCACCTTGATTTTTCTCATCTTAAATATTTATTTTAATGTAAAAAGCACAGGATTTGTAGGGAAATAAATCCAGAAGAGCTGTAATTTTTTGTGATTCTATACTGAATTTTTTTAGTAATAACTTTAATTTTCATTTGCTAGGAAAAAACTCCTTTTTAATTTTTATAAGTTCACAAATTTTATTTTCTATGTCAATACCCTTAGATTTTACATTTATTTTTTAAAATTAATTATTAAGAATTTATTCAGCTTTAAGTTTACAACTTGACGAAATTTGCCAAATAGACCTTAGGGATTTTATTGATTGGCTTCAGATAAAAAGCGTCGGATTTTTAGAAAAACAAATCTTATTACTTTCTTTTAATGTAAAAAAACACAGGATTTGAGGAAAATAAATCCAGAAAAGCTATAAATTTTATGTGATTCTATACTGAACTTTTTTAGTAATAACTTTAATTTCGATTTGACAGGAAAAACTCCTTTTTAATATATTTATAAGTTCACAAATTTTCTATTTTCTATACCCTTAGAATTTACAATTAATTTTTTTAAATTAATTACTAAAAATTTATTCAGCTTTAAGTTTATAACTTGACGAAATTGGCCAAATAGACTTTAGGGATTATATAGATTGTCTTCAGATAAAAAGCATAGGATTTTTAGAAAAACAAATCTTATTACTTTCTTTTAATGTAAAAAAACACAGGATTTGTAGGAAAATAAATCCAGAAACGCTATATATTGTTTGTGATTCTATACTGAATTTTTTTAGTAATAACTTTAATTTCGATGTGACAGGAAAAAATTCCTTTTTAATATTTATAAATTCACAAATTTTCTATTTTCTATACCCTTAGAATTTACATTTAATTTTTTTAAATTGATTACTAAAAATTTATTCAGCTTTAAGTTTATAACTTGACGAAATTGGCCTAATAGACCTTAGGGATTTTATTGATTGGCTTCAGATAAAAAGCGTAGGATTTTTAGAAAAACAAATCTTATTACTTTCTTTTAATGTAAAAAAAAAACACAGGATTTGTAGGAAAATAAATCCAGAAAAGCTATAATTTTTTTGTGATTCGATACTGAATTTTTTTAGTAATAACTTTAATTTCGATTTGACTGGAAAAAACTCCTTTTTAATATTTATAAGTTCACGAATTTTGTATTTTCTATACCCTTAGAATTTACATTTAATTTTTTTAAATTAATTACCAAAAATTTATTCAGCTTTAAGTTTACAACTTGACGAAATTGGCCAAATAGACTTTAGGGATTTTATTGATTGGCTTCAGATAAAAAGCGAAGGATTTTTAGAAAAACAAATCTTATTACTTTCTTTTAATGTAAAAAAACAGGATTTGTAGGAAAATAAATCCAGAAAAGCTATAATTTTTTTGTGATTCTATACTGAATTTTTTAGTAATAACTTTAATTTCGATTTGACAGGAAAACTCCTTTTTAATATTTATAAGTTCACAAATTTTCTATTTTCTATACCCGTAGAATTTACATTTAATTTTTTAAATTAATTACTAAAAATTTATTGAGCTTTAAGTTTACAACTTGACGAAATTGGCCAAATAGACTTTAGGGATTTTGTTGATTGTCTTCAGATAAGATTAGGATTTTTAGAAAAACAAATCTACTTAGTCTGAAAAGCAAAATAACTTTAATTTTTCTAGTTTTGATATATATATTTCTTTCTTTGACTTTACGCTTAATGATTATTTGGAGATCGTAGGATTTTTAAATTCAACATTGCAAAAAACCGTTAAAATTTAAATTTTAAAAATAATTATTTTTCTACGAATATTACTATTAATTATTAGGTAATTTAGGCAATTTTGAGTTAAAGATTTTTGTAATCTTCTTGATTTGCTTCTGTCAAAAAGCTTACGACTTTCTGTGAAAATAATTGCTTTTTGTTTTCTAGTATTTTTATATAGTTTGTTTTCTGTTTTTTTGATGGATTATTATGTAATTTATTCGATTTATGTGTCATAACTTTTATTTTAAATTTTGTGATCGATTTGTTTTTATCTTCTTTCTTTCTAAATTTCTTTGTTCGTTTTCAGTTAAAGTAAGTAGTAAAGCGAGTACTTCTTGTCCTTGCAAAGGTTGAAATTAGAAGGGGGGGACATGAAATTAAAATATTTTTAGGTCTTCTCAAGATTTTTAAGTGTACTATTTGTCGAGTTTCTGGTGGAATTATCAACCAAAAAAGACAAGATTTTCCTCGACTGTTTTATATTTAGTTTGATCTTCTTCAGAACTTTACTGTCAGTCTACTATAATTAACGAAACAGTCATGATTTTATTATTTTTTCTTCACACAAAACCCCTTTATCTCGTCACAATATTCACCAAGTATAAACTTTGTCGAGTTTATGGTGATGTTAACGACAAAAACGATATATTCTTCGCTTTTGTTAAGTTTATTTTGATTGTTTTGCCTGTTTGATGAAATTGACTAAACAATAACTAATAAAGAGGTTGATTTTTAACAATATTGACCAGGTATAATCATTATCGAGTTTCTTATGAAATCAATGTCAAAGACATATCTTCCATGGTTTCCTCAACTTTATTTTGATCTCCTCAGGCTGAAACTGACAGAACAGGCATGGTTTTATTAACTTTTCTAAATAAAACGCCTTGTTTTGTCACCATATTCACCAAGTATAATCTTTGCCCAGTTTCTAGTAAAATTAACAACAACAAATCAACGTTTTTCTCTGTTTTGTGAAGTTTATTTTGATCACCTCCAAATGTGTTTTGGCTATTTGGTGAAATTTATTAAAAATAGATTAAATTAGATTTACCTTTCTTCAGATAAAACGCTTTATTTCGTGACCATATAACTTTTGTCATGTTTCAAATTAAATGAACATAAAAACTACGGATTTTCCTCGGTTTTGTTGACATTACTTTTATCTTTTCCGGATTATTAGTTTTATCAGAACTTACACATTATTGTCCTGAGTCTAGAATGCATAATAAAATTTCTGCATTTAATTCAAATTACAATTTAATTTAAATTACAATTTTTTAAACTAAGAAATGTTTATTTTCAACAAGATTCTTTTCGGTGCTTAATAAAGATAAAGAAAGATTGTTCAATTTTTCGTGTAAAAAAATTAAAATAAAGGATTAAGATCAAAGAGCTCTGCCTTTTTTTTAAGTTGGGCTTAACTTCAAGCTTCGGCCCGAGTCAAAGTTAAATTTTAAAGCATAAATATTATTTTCTTTCGTCGCCTGGGCGAATTTTTGCTCATTTTTGAGCGAAATGGCAAAATATGTCATATTGAGTAATTGTTGTAGAACGGTAAATATTCCTAGGGAAATACTTTTTTCATTTATTTAAATTTATCCCTGAGCTTAGTTCCCCGTTCATCATGATTTGGGCAAGACTTCGTACTATAAAAAAACTGACGGAGAAACTTACTTTTTCAGATATGCCCCGTATGTCTATTTATAACAATTTCACGCCGGATAATTGCTCCCACTTTATTAAATTCCCATGTGAAATTTTGTGCAAAACACTCGGCTTTTGTGTTTTCGTGGTGGCAGGAGTGATCTATAGGACTTTAACCCAGGAACCGGCAACGTCTACCGCGAACAGGCTTGCGGTAACGGCAACCTCTTCAATTATCATCTTTGTCCTTTTTCCCTCCCCATTCTGTATCTCTAAAAATATCCTAACTAAATCCGTACATTGCACAACTGTCAATTTATTTATTGACGTTTTCCGAAAGGTCGAGTTGTAAGAGGAAATTTGTTGAAAGTTTTACTCAAAGCCCTATAGAATTTTCACAAACAATGAAAACGTAACTTATGAGGAAAATATACCAAGCCCCCACCCCGCGGGCGAATGTATTACAAAATAGATAATTCGGTCAGATTGCAACATTATTTACAATCTAGATCGACACGCTCCAGAAAATCGGCTTGTAGGTACATTTTTTTAAATACACCACTATAAACTGCACATTCTAATTTTGAAGACCTTCTGATCTTTGGACTTTAAATAAAAAATAGACAAGAGACTTTAAAAAAAATATTTGGCAGGTCAGTACTGGGAATCGATCCTCAGATCCCTCGCTGTTCGCGTGGTGTTCAGGACGAGTAGATCCTCCCAAACACTTCTTTTCTAACGTTCATTTTTAAAATAAAGATTTTTATCAAACATTTCAACAAAATTTTCAAAGTTTAAACTTTAAAAAGTGAATTTTTACAATTTCCTATTTAATCAGATATATTTTTCTTTGTCTTTCACCTCTATCAAATGTACCTCAAGGCACTAAGAGAAGCTCGGTTGATACATAAATACATCTTTAAGAAAGATAAGCTTTCCTTAATTTTAACTTTTTTTACAAACTCAGAAATGTTCCAGGAAAATGAATCTCTTTAAGAAAGATAAACTTTCCTTAATTTTCCTTTTTTTACAAACTCAGAAATGTTCCAGGAAAATGAATCTCTTTAAGAAAGATAAACTTTCCTTAATTTTTAACTTTTTTTTCAAACTCAGAAATGTTCCACGAAAATAAATCTCTTTAAGAAAGATGAACTTTCCTTAATTATAACTTTTTTTACAAACTCAGAAATATTCTACGAAAATGAATCTTTCCTTAGTTGTTTCTTTATGGAGGACAGAATTGCTTTTTTCCCAATATTTTCCCCCCTAGCAGCTAACCTAATAAAAAGACTAGAAAAACTTAATTTTTCCTTTCCCAACTTGCTTTCTCAGAACTTTTTTTTAGTATTTTTACCATGTTAAAATTAAGGAAAGCTAGTTTTTTTTTTCAAGGTTCCATTTTTTAGCTGGGCTTACAAGCGTCATCATAACTCGTGTTAATGTAAAAATCATTAAAGAAATATGTGCATT